ATCCCCTCTGTAACTCTGCTGCTGGATGAGAGCTGGTCACAAGATCACCCCATCTGTGATGTGAGAGCACAGAAGTACAGTACAGCAATTTACTTATCTGTGATGTCCTGTGCTGCCAACAATTAGCCCCACATCCTATAACACCTGTTATTCATGGCGGTCGCCAATGCAGCCACTACCCTTGCTCAACCCCTGCTGAGCATCTGAACTGTGACGAGATTTGGGCGCTCTCCGAGTGATTCGGTCAACAAAAATGACGATACACGTGTAAAAATATCAAATCATGAGCATTATACAAGGAGCGTCTTATATTTTGTGCGCGCGTGCTCTAAAAGAAACACGAAGCACGGCTTTGGTCCATCCTCCCGCGGCTCCGCCCGATGCCAGCCTCCTCAGAAGAGCACAAGATCAGCAGAGTTGGAACCCATTTCCATTTCAAAGCCAGGAAGGAGCTCAATCGCTGCCTCTGACGCAAACCCAATCCGATGACGACTTTCTCACCGCACCCCCTGCCCCGCTGGCGGATTTAAATACACGTACACATTGTCCTTTTGTTGCTGTATTCCTCTACGCTCCCTCCCTCCCTCCCTCCTTCCCCTTTGCCCGAGCGTCCCGCGCGCTATTTATGGGCGATTGTGCGTGCACCGCGTGGCTAAATACGGCACCAGATCTCCGTGGGTGGCGATTAACGGATGCTCTTCCTGCGGCTATTGCGGGCACAAGAGGGGCGCGCGCTGTCTTGGCCTGAACAGGGGCCCCGCAGGCCGCCACCGCGTATCGCGCCGCGCGACGCCCCTTCGTCGCCGTGCCACATTTATGATTCCGTTCGTTTGTCGCGGAGAACTTTTCCAAACTAATCGCGGTGGCCTCGTGGCCATTATTCACTTGAGCGCCGATTGCCCGGGGCTACGACGCCGGCAACTGAGAGCAGGAACGAGAGCGCGGACGATTAGAACTCGCTTGTTGAAAATCGTTACAGGTCATACAGGATCTGTAACGATGATTACAGCAAGCGTGCTGTGACGGTTCCACCTGAAGACGGAAGCTTGTGTTGCCTCCGAAACGTCGTGATTTTTTATTTTATTTTTATTTTACTTTTATTCATTTTGATTTTTTACCTACGTGACTTTACCGAAAAAAACCTAAGAATATGGTCATACAGGAACCTGGGGGGGGGAGGTGATTGAGAGGGAGTTGCAAAGCTGGCAAAAAGGGAGCACTATCAAAGTGCAAAAGGTTACAGGAACCCAATTGTTACCTTTGACAATAATAATTCGTCTAATTATTAATAAAGGGACATGGGAAAAAGATGTCATGGAAGGGAATACCAAATCCAGCATCAGACAGCTCTGACGATACGACAACAGATCCCGAGTAAACGTGGAACCACATGTTAACATTGACCCAATGTTGCATGCTTACTCGGTAAATAACTAACAGAGTTGTTGAATGGATTCAGGTTATAAGAAACTGGGGGAAAAGTAGTGACAGTAGAAAGTTCCAAAGTCTAAGCGTGCAAGGAAAAGATAAGGACAAGTCCGAATTGGAATCTTTATTTTTTCCTGGAGAAATCCGATGAGCTATGAAGCTCTTGTTGACAGATGCCCAGTAGGGGCGGATCAAAAGTCATGCTCTGGGCTACAACAGCATAGTATTCTCGGCTTCTCAGAAGTCCACACCTTTTTTCCCACACCCCAGGTTGCACGAAGTCAACGGTTCGATTCCTGGTAACGTATGCAGCGTTTAACCAAAGCACAAAACTCGGCACATTCACTAACGGCGCTGCCTTATGTGCTGTGAAGGGGAGGGAGGGGAGGGGGCATTGCCCGAAACGTCACCTATTACAACACCTTAATAAGACCGCTTCACACAAGCATGCCTTCTGCTCTCAATTCGTGTACATTGAAGGCTCCCATTTTATGATTTGAGAATGTGAGCTCTTGCCTGTGGTACAGTCCAAATAATGTGAGAGGGATCCACAAATGAATAGTAAAAATGTAACAACAAAAAAAAAACAGCGGTCCCCATGTAGGCATGGCACGGCCCTGCGTAATAAATAAATAATCAAACAAACAAATTGAGCGGTGAATTGAATTTCTGCCAAGTGCTCTACAGTGAATCTCCCATTGGGTAGCGGAGTGCACGCAGTGAATTGCTCCACCGCCGTCATCATCATTAACGCCGCCTTTTAAATCAACAATACAGAACATGCAATAAGCTAACCCATTAAGTACGTAAAGATTCATTGATTAAAATCGAGTCTTACGCCTCACGGTACGAGCCATCGGAATCTTGCGTATCAGAAGACATTATTTACAATCTAAGCTCGTTATAGCACTTGACAATGTATGTTCAACCTAATGGAACCAACTAGACAGAATATATTACAGAGACAATACAAATTAACTAAACAAACACATCTTCAAGCATAATCCCGCATCGTGACAATTCAAAGAATGACAGGAAGGGAAAAATCATTAAACGCCACTGCTTCCTATCCAGCTCAAATTCGTGAGGTTCTACCATAGGCATTCCGACGAAGCTACGACACTGCTAATGATCACCCACAGTATTTCCACCATCCGGGTGGAGCGATGGCACAGCTGCACATCGGTGGCAAGTAATATCCGAACCAATTCTGGGCCAACCTCTCCTTCACCAACCCGCACGAAGCATCAGTGTTGGTAGCAGTACAGTCGGTCAAACAACCATCAAGACCGACACAGCATGGATAGGGGGCCTGACAATCCAGCGCTTGTATTGACGAACGGCTGCAAATGATAATCGTAGTTTCACGCTTGTGAGGTTGTTCAATAGCCATTGAGATGGATTCACACAACAGCAGTGCCGATTTGCACCCCCCAAACACCCACACAGTATGTCCATGGGCACAGCCCTGCTCAGAGCCCCCCAGTACTCGTCTTCAAACAACCTGGAGGCTAATCCAACGCTGGCGGGGGGCGGGGGGGGGCATGAGAGTGGCGAGAGAACAAATCAGAGTCCAGGAAGAAAATGGCCAAATTTATTATAGAGCTTCCGACAAACGCAAACGCAAAAAAAACGCACAAACATCTACTACTACTACGATATATTTATTTTACCAGGTAAGGCACACTGAGTTATATTGCTCTTTTTCAGAAGCGACATGGCTATCACAAACAATAGCTCGACGAAGTGGCTTATCGCATGCAAATTTATCGCAGCCAAAGACTCTAAAGGCATGCTTCTAATCGTGGAGGGGGAAAACCGGAGGAGCCGGAGAAAAATCCACACAACCATGTGGAGAACACGCAAACTCAAAATATACAGGCATCAGGGTCGTGATCAAACCCTTGACCACCCGCATACCGGGCGAGGTAGTTAACATCTCGCCACCACGGCGGCTATGCAAAAATCTCATTCGCGTATGCTCAGCCGTTGGGGATTATCAAGCGCAGGGAAGACTTACGCAACGACTAGCCTGCTCTTGACTCAGCAAAAAAAGCTGTTGCTGCAGCCAAGAGTTGAAGATGGGGGGGGGGTAGTGAGGGGTTGTCTGGCTTCGGACTTTATTTTCTTTGGGGGCCATTCCCGCCTCGCTGTTGGTGCTTCTTGCTATGCAGATCAGTGCCGTGCTGAATCGGGCCGGGGCCCTCAATCTTCATCCCGCTCACTAACTCCACGAATGGTAGACAAAAGACAAAGGTAGCTAGCCGTATAGTCTGTTGGGGCAAATTCGTTTAGCGAGCACCTATTAAGGCCAGCATGGCGCACAAGGCGGTTTGTGTGGTCGGCACGGCTGCCATTGTCTTCTTAGTGCTGATGTATACACATCACACCTGATACTCATTTAAGGCTGAGTAGACCTAGAGGAGGCCAGGACCAGGTCACATTTTGATGTTGATGGTGGCCGTTTGTGGGAATCGAACTCGGGTTATTTGTGCTTGTAACACATTGCGCTAACCACGACACTCATGCTCCGTCCCCCTGCATCGGCTGTGCCTGAATCATAATCCTGTCCATTAACTCCATGGGCAGGAGTAGCACACGCGCATGCACATGCACGCGTGTGCGTGTGTGGGCAAACTCTTAGGGGGAGCGGTAGTTGCGTGGTTTAGCGCACTGTACAGCATTGGTGATGAATATCTGAACGAGTCCTGGGCCTCCCCTAGGTTGACTGAGCCTTAAATGGGTAACCTAACCGAGTGCGGTGTTTAATCACCAGAAATGGGGAGACAATGACGACCGGGCGTGGTGCTGGCTACACACCCCCTCGCGTCCCATGCCGGCGTTCATAGGTGCCCGCTGGCAGCACTTGCCCCAAGAGTCTGTCAAAGCCTACAGGGGGGATCTTTGTCTTCTTTTAATCTTTGTGCAAACTCCCCTTGAGTGCCCAGCTCTTCCCACAACAACAAACCACGACCGGTGATAATTGGTGATCGTTAACCCTCCCACTTTAGGGAACCGTTGCCACTCAGCTCTACGATGTCACTTTTATACGCGCTTTAATACGTTAATAATAACAATGAGGTACACGGAGGAGTTCATTAGTGCGGGGGCATCCTCTCGCCCAACGTGTATTTTACACAAACAAAATTCCGCGCGAGAATGCATTTTTTTACAGGCGAGCAGGTCAAACAGTTCATCAAAGAGGAAGGAAATACCTTCACCACCACTGACATTAACATCCACCGCCTTATGCAATGAAAATTAGAAAAACGCAAAAGTTTTTACGGTGTTGGTGGCTCTTTTCTCTGCTCTTACTACACATACTGCCACCCTGCTGTAAGTCTGTAAGTTATCAGGGCGGTGTTTGCTTATCATGCCAGGGGCTGCTATCAATGCCACTCCCAACACAATCCCTGACGCTTTATTCAAAAGTGTTTGCAGAGCACGTCGGCTGCCTCCGCTCGCCCAACTCGGGGAACACCACGAACCTTCGCCAACATTTACGGGGGCCTCCCCATCAACCCACACACAGAGGTCACTCCCTAATCACAAACTCCGAAACCTCTACTCACCTGGACTTCCGAAGCCCGTCAAACGAGCTGACCGTGTGGTGTTTCAACAGTCGCTTGGTTCTGTCTTCTGCAAAGAAAAAAAAAAAACACTTCAATTGAAAGACGAATCTGAGGATAACCTCCTTGCAAGTAAATAATAAATGGAAGCCGGGGGCACTGCCCCGGGGGAAAGGAAGGGAGCCCGTGTGCCACTGCCGATCGCGAGCCGGGTAATCGGGGCCACAGGCTGCGCTAGAGGCTCTGGCCGTGATGTGCTGCACGTGTCTCACGCGCGGCAGCGGGCGCCGAGCGGACAAACGTTTCCGCGCGCGCGACAGTTCTCGAGAAGGCAAACCTCTGCCCTCGTGGGAGACGCTAGATGGCGGGACATGCGACCGAATGCGCTTCTCGCTACCGGGCAGACTGCTTTGCGAGAAGCAGTCTGTAAATACACCCAATCCCCTCCCCCCCACCCCTTGCGTTTCATGCGATCGCGAGCGTGCGCGCGCACGCACGTTTTCTCACCCCCACATCGGCTCCCGACGCACGTGGACATCCCCTCAGCCCCTTGCCGCTAGTCTCCTGTACTCCAGCCTCCAGCCCTGAGCCTCAAACTGCCACCCCTCCTGCCCACCCCCTTCCACCTTGGAGCCCCGTTTCCCTCGCCTCAACGATTGCAGGCGCACGATTTCGCGCACTTGCCTGCACGCCCGCCGGCATTGTTGGCAGTGTTTGCAAACGCCGAATTAAAAGCGTGTTACGATAGCAGCTCTGCCGCCAGTCCCAGCAACCGTGCCCAGGAGAGAACGAAAGCTGCCAAATTGCAGGCAGTGGGAGGGGGGGAGATGAGCAGAAAAGAATGGTTGCCCAGAACCAGAGTGGCATGGAGCCTGGACAGAAGAAAAAAAAATGGAAATCGTCCAGAATTCACACGAAGCTGAAAAGTGTCTGCATGCCTGTTAACCCCTTATCAGTGCTGCCTGCCTAATTACAGACCAATTCAGACATTTTTGGTCACCCCGTGCCTCTTACACATCTCAAGGTTCATCCAACAAAGTCCCATCACAAGGGAGAAACAGAAACAAAAAGAAAAAAAATGTGCCCGTATTGAAACAGCCGTACGCCCATATGGACCTGAAAACTCAATTTCCCTGTACAAGAATATGGGCAAACCGTATGGGTTGACAGGTACGTCTGCTGCACACCAGTGCTCTGGCTGAACGTTCATGAACTCGGCCAAGACACACTTGAGCAAAAGCGAGCTCTGTGCCGCCGCTGACTGTTACTGGAGTGCCGTTTTTAATTTGCTTGTTGTGCAGTCAAGTGCAAGGAACAGGTTGGTTATACGAGGGCACAATTCAAAAGGAGAGTTTTGGCGCGGCATGCAAAACGTTGTTTGCTGCAACCCGCAGAAATGTTGGACTTACAGTAGCCACAAACAACAATGGACCTAACACCAAGGCACGTTCCGTGTCCCTTAGAGTTTCACATCGTGCCTTACTGTGGCTCTGTCAATTGCTCAAAACTGGGAGTAGAGGTTGTGTGTTTTTTTATGCTGTGTGTCTCACATAGCCACCAATACGTGCACATAAAAGAATGACGTCAAATGTGGTTCTGCCCTGAATTTGTGCTTGTCAAATATTCATTTGACCGGCATGCGTCAAAACATTGCCCTCGCGTGCAGAGTGGCTGCGAAAAGTGCTGCCCCACTACTTTGTGAACCAGGGGTCAACTTGAAGCAGCAATCTTGGAGGTAGATCTGTGACATCCGCTTCTGCGGGCCGTTCTCGGACACGAAGGGTTGCGCTGCTGTGCGAGACATGCCAACGGGTGGTTCGTCTCGCGACGAGCCGCCGCCAGCACAACCACGATAAAAAAAATTTGAGGAAATTATGACGACAACAACAGCAGCAGCAGCAGGAGAGGTTGAGTCTCACCGTGTACAGCTTGTGTTTGTCTCAGCTGCACCTCCCGCACGCAATGGCTTGGGAACCATCCTCGCCTGCCTTCAGAGATGCCCTCCCACATGCCCGCCTCCCCGACTGTAAGCACTGTTAGGGAAAGAGGGAAACGCATGATAATCAACAACAATAATATAATAATAATTTCGCACATTTGGGGGTTCGCGACGCAAGGAACACGCAGTGTTTCATATTCCGTGTCTTCCAGTTGGGGGCGAAGTTGCCGTGCGGTTCAATTCCTATTAAGTAATTTTGTCATTTTTTAACAAGTTTGGCAACTTTTGACCGTGACACCTGCACAGACGGCGTCTTGGGATCTTTAACGTCCACTGCGAAGCAGGCGGTGTTCATTCACGGTTAATACACCTACAGCGTTAACCTGGATGGACGCTGGGTTGGAACCTCTGCAATTTTATCATTAGTTTAAAACCGCGTTTTTGTGTTACGTTCGTTGTCCTTCCCCTGCACCTCCAATTAGCACGGCTGGCTACGTACGGTGTGAAAGAAGTTCAACATACATAAGAGGCAATAGCGCGACTGCTTGGGAAATATGACACCAACATTGCGAAACACAACCGGTCCACAATGTTTAGCACACCCCATGGCAGCTTTTACTTTACACAACTCATCGATTTGATGTTATAATTTGGGACAGGGTGGTGGAGCAATGGCTTAGCGTGCTTGCGCTATCAACCCAGTGGTCTGTTCCCAATTCCCGGCCACCGCTAGCATCAGTGGTCATATCTGAGCCGGTTCTAAGTACCCCCTTCCTTCATCAACCCCCAACGACAAGTGGAGTGAAATATGCTCAAACAATCCGTTGCGACCACCACAGAACAGTAAGGATGACTTAATCTGGTATGAGCTGTATCGCTGGCTATGTTTTTTATTTGTTATGGACTGAATAACTTGAACCATTAACTCAGCAATAAAACAGAGTTGTTCATTCTTCTAAATCAAACCCGAATTCCTATGCTTTCCCAAAACCGTGCTCGCATTCTCAGGGCATGAGAGGCCCAGAAACGAAACACGCGATACGCGCACATACACGATGTGATTTTTCTTTTTTTACAGCCTCTTAAATATTTAATGGAAAACACCCAAACCACTTTGTTAACATTCCGTTACAAACGGCTCAAATGCGCGTCCAAAGACGCGCTCGCCATCGGCAAAGCCCAGCTGGGGGGTTGTCGGTCTTGAGCGAATTATAAAAAAAAGACCCGAAAATAAAGCAGGCCCCCCGTGTCTCTGGAGGTGAACGTCGCGTGCACTGCACCAAAGCAATGAACCCGGCGCCAGGTTCAAATCCCTGGCTGCCTCCCGAGATAAAGCCAGGTTCTCATGTGTGGCGAGTTTGATGGTGTCAGGGCGGTCACCACAGACGGCAAGGAGTGAATAAAAAAAGAAAAGCAAAAACTAAACTGAATGAAATTTCTCTTCTTGGTTCTTTCGGTAAAGTCACGTAGAAGGGAAATAATAAAATAATAAAAACAAAACATAATAAAATACAATTCTCACGACGTTTCGGCCACAACGCAAGCAGCCGTCCTCAGGTGAAGAACAGGTCTGTCGGATAGACAGACAGCGTCTTTTATTATTTCCCTTCTACGTGGCTTTACCGAAAGAACCAAGAAGATGAATCCCTGCAGTCACGAAAGCTTTAAATCGAAATTTGAATGAAATTTGGCACTTGATTCAGTACAGCCCAACTCTGATGACTTGCAATGAATACCTCGTATATATATCTGCATACATAGGCACAACATCCCGTGGCCGCCTCTTAGCCACACGAAAACACCCCGGGCGTATATGGACACCCACAACACCCACAGTCGCTGTGCCCCTGTCTGCACAGCATAAAGGGCCACCCAACGGATTCTGGGACAGGAGGGCAGGCAATAGCATTGCATTTAGTGGTCGAGTTATATATTTATATTTGCGGAATGATTCACTACGGCATATAATAGGGTTTTCGCCATTAGAAGTCACTCTTTGTTGGCTCCTTTGGGGCCATTTCGTTTCATGCTGCAAGGCTCTTGCTGCCCATAGGGGCTATTTGGTATCCTAATTACTTCTTTGCTCGATATTCTGGTGGCAATCGGACGATGGGGAAGTACTTAGCGTGCGAATAATAATAAACAAAGCGACTTAAATCCCATCCAAATGTGTAGAAGAAAAATCGATCCTTACAAAAGACAAACATTTTTTTTTAAATCAGTCATTGCATTTTATCTATGACCAAATCACCCACAAATGGCACCCGATCTCATCAGATCTCGGAAGTCAAGCAGAGTTGAACCTGAACAGTGATGTCACGTGTGGTCACCGTGCATTACAGCTTGTTATAGGTTGCAGGGCGATGTGGTGAGCAGCAGAGAGGGGCAGTGCATCAACATCCGTTGTTGTATTGTACTGCTATGCAGTACCCCCACGTCTATGCGCCCTGCTTTGATGAACGTCGACCCATAAAACTTTATAATAAAGCAACCAAATTGCGTGTGCAACAATTCACATTTATACGCTTGGACTTGTATGTTATGACGGTTTACACTATCACTGCGGCCACTAGAGGTGCTACCACCATTCACATCAATTAAAAAAAACAATTATTGAATGAAATCATGACCCTGAATAGGAACAATTTGTCCTGGTGGCACAGAACGGTGAATCACCCCACCTTGTACGGGAAAATTGCACCCCGGATTCCAATGAAGGCAGTTCCCCGGCATTTAAACTGTTACGTACTGCACTGTCCAACGCAGTAATGTGTACGTATACAAGCGGGCATAAAGCGCGAGATGTTTGCCTCGGTAGTTCGGCGTTTCATCTGAGGTTACGGTTCAATCTTACAAACAGCCGACATCCCTTTGTGAGTCCGCTCCCGGATGAAGGCCCTCCCCATGCTGTTACGGTCACATGGGTTGTGTGGCCACGGTTCACCGTGCTGGTCAGTGCGGGTTGATGTTGTTGTAGGTTCAGGGAATCGTTCGGCTGGCACGGCCCGTTGAATCGAAGCAGCTCCTTTCACAAGGACGATCACAGCCCAAGAGCGGTTTTAGGTATCAGCTCGTCCACTGGTGTTCACCATGGCTGAGAGGGTCACTGTGGTCAGAGTGCAGAGCGCAAAAGAAAAAGGCACTATGCCACTGCTCCCTCCGGGTCTTAGGCTTTGCTTGCTGTAAAATGCAATGCTCCCTGTGACAATTAAGCAGAGCAACAATAAAAAAAAAGGTCCTCTGTGGTTACCTTTTTATCACTAAGTAGAGGTTGTTTATCATTTGCACACGTGCATTAATGAGTTCAAGTGATCTGTGTAGAACTTTTTGTGTATTTTAAATGATAAAAATAAAAATATCAAGAATAATTGTATCATCCTTGGTTTGTTAACCAAAATAGGTTCTGTGCAGGGAAAAATCCTGCCAATTAGCCGCAATGAATAGGGCATTTGGAGCCGGGTAATTGCAATGATTGTAATTTAATGCAAAAAATATGCCAAGATTAAATGATAATTGTCCGTAATGCATTGCGAGTGCCGTTTGTAGTAATAGCTTTGACCCCCATATGTGCCTTTTCAATTCTAATTTTAAATTTTCTCGTCACTTTTCCAATGCGATGGTAAACGAGGAATGGCATTTCTTGGGGAGGAAACCGGGAACACATTCCCCGGGAAAGATTCGTTCAAAAACGCCGACACACCCGGCAAACCCACGCACGCACGCACACACCTGCGCACGCACTATTGTTAAGGCCGTGTTGTTTTTTTCTGTTCTGGGTGGGGGGTTCATCACGGGCAGCCGTGGTAAACTCCCGCTCTCGACAAAAACGTTCTGGGAGTGAACCGGCGATGCGCAATTTTTTTCTTGTGCCGCAGCATCGGCACAGAGAGGGGGGCCTTGCTGACGCATCTCCTTCGGCACAACAGTCCGAACCCGCAGAATCAGAGAGGTTTTTATTTGTTTTTGGCCCACGGTTATTTTCCAAGAAAAATCCATACCAGACAGGATTCCCCCTTTCTGCGTGTCTGCAAAATAAAGCGGAATGTTCGGCAGGTTTCAAAACAGCAATGTCCAGGCAGCTGCAGTGGAAAAACGGCTGTTGATACGTCCCTGTCGGAAAATAAATTCAGAATTGGATAAATCCTTGATCACTAATTAGGTCCATAAAGGCATATATACCAGTCTATTTGCAAACAACAAAAGCTAACACCGCAATGGAAGCCTGCTTGGAACGTTCAAAACTGTGAGTATATTTATTTATTCATGCACATGCCAGTTATTTAATTATCAAATGCTCGCATCTCCCTCTCGCCCAACTCGCATCCCCGTTCGGTGAGTGCAAAATTCCCTGGAGCAGTCATTAAAGTGCGTGACACTGCTGTCAGTACATCCTGCAACTGCTCTGGGGAGACTGCCTCACAACAAGGAGCGTAAACCATCATGCGAACTCCAGTCATCCTCGCAGCGGTTTTTGGCTAAACCATCGAACAAAGACGGCCACCGCATCGCTCGCTTTCAGATGTGCTTCTGCGGCCGTCTGGAACGCTCTTCCTACTGATAAGAGGAAGCCACTGGAGCAAAGCACCTTTAAATCTTGATTGAAAACTCATTTCCTTAGAACTGCATTTCGTTGTCCTTCCCCCGCACCACCGATTAGCACGGTTGGCTACGTACGGTGCGAAAGAAGTTCAACGTACGATACACACACACATCCCCTCGCTTCGACTCAAACTGTCTTCCACGCAGCCACCGGCGCAATCGCTGCGCTTCGTCTGCATCGCGCTCACGAGCGAGCGCAATTGCGTTAGCATCGGACGCCGATCACCATAATCAATAGGCCATGAGCGTCTGAATAATAACTGTCACATTGCCCTGACGAATGCGAGCTCTTGGCCCGTGCAGTTCGGTTGGAAGAGCGCAGCGACAGTTGCGTCTGCGCGTGACTCCAGACCCCAGGGCGTGTGGGATCACGGCTACAGAGGCGAAAGAAAATAATTCCCAGTGCCAATTATGCCAGGTTTACTCATTGTGAATAAATAAACCACGCACATTAATTATGACCCAATATGAATTGCAAATTCAAAGACGATGGCGCTTATCATGCTCAAGGCAAACAAAAGCACATTTTTTTCAAGTTTTTTTTTTTTACTCCTTTCTCCTTGGACTGACGCACGGGTGGGAAGTTGACATACCCTGGTACATATCGATATCAGGACTGCTCACCCAGGCTGCTTGCACATATTGCCTGTCCGTATGTGTCTTTGCATACATGTGTTGCCGTGAGCGGTAGTTTAGTGGTTAGCACACTGAGCTACAGGCCCGGCGGCCTGCGTTCAACTCCCGCTCATGTCCAATATTGGTTGTGAATATCTGAACCAGTCCCGGGCCTCGTCTAGGCCGGCTCAGCCTTAAATAAGTATCTGGTGCGGTGTGTCGATAAGAAACTAAGAGGGTGTTGCTGACCACCCACTTCCTTGTATGCTATGCCGGTCTTCAAAAGTTGCTCGCCATCAGCACATTCTGTGAAAGGCTACATGGGGATCACATGGACACATATGAGTGTGTGTAATAATGATGGCACAATAATGGGGAGAGGTAGTGCAGCGGTTAGCGTGCTGCACTACGAACCTAGTGACCCGAGTTTGGTTCCCGCTCACGACCAACACCAGTGGCAAATATTTATATCGGTCATGGGCCTCCCCTAGATCGACTCAGCCTCAAATGAGTACCTGGTGCAGTGTGTAAACAGCACCACTGGGGAGACAAAGGCGGCAGGGCGTGGGGGTTGACTACCCACCCCCTCGTGTGCCGTGCCAGCCTTTATAGGTGCTCACTAACAACGCTTGCCCCAACGGCTATACGGGAGATCTTTGTCTTTGTATTTGCAATAATTGGCGCACTACACCATGAACCAAGCAATCACAGCTTGTTTCCCCACACACATCGTGTGGAGCAAAGTCAAAACATCTCACGAGCAAGATGCGCGCACACAAGACACGCGCACACAAGATGCCCCACCTAAAGCACGATGCCCACATTAAATCCAGCAACATTGCAAGGACATCGCCCACTTCGGACGCAGACCTGGCCTCATCCTTAATGCGCCGATTGCATCACTGAAGAGCGCGACATCGCGCGGTGGCTACACGAGCGGAGCAAACGTTAACAACACGACTCATTTATCAATTCTGGCTTTCGCCTGATGATGCTGGTTGTAATTACCGGCGAGACGTCGTGACTCGAATTGTAGATGTTGTGGGTTTACTCTCCAACACACCGGTGTTGCTGTACTCGTAACTAATTGGCACGTTTTGTTTCCGTGACAAACATTACTGATTGGCTGTGTCGGGTGGTCACGAGTTTAACGACACATTTATATATTTACGCGACGGCACCCCAAAGAAAATCTATCACGCGCAATTTGAATGTTTAAGCATTGCGCGCACGCATTTGTTTGTTTTCATATATTTCATTAACGAGTGACGCCTCGACAACAATGGCTGCGACAAGAGTGAGAAGGACAAACCGTGGACCAAGTCTCCCATGGCGAGAGGGATTTCTCCGCCCCGCCGGGGCCGATAGGCCTGCTGAACGGCATACGCGCGGCCTGGCAGGGCGTTGTCCAAGTTGCGCTGGCAGCTTTGCTTGGGACATGATCTGTGGCCAAAATAAAAAAGAATTGCGCACACACACCCACGCACACACACACGCACACACACACACCCACACACACACACACGCAAAGGTAAAGATCTCCCGGTTTTCCCGAGTGACTGCTGAGGGCAAGTGCTGTTTTGTGAGCACCTTATTCAAATTGACACTCACGCAGCTACAGTTACACACGCACAGATATGCTGCTGTGGGCAGGAAAAAGGCAGTACAGCAAATCAACTTTTGCACTGTACTTCTCTTGTGACCGACACTGCTGCGTGAGAGGCAGGCCCTCATCCAGCAGTGGATAGACAAAGAAGTTTAAACAGAAACATTGCGGCCAAACTTGGTCGTTGAGTTTGTAACAGCTTGTTTCATTATACACACACAGATACATTTTTCATGTGCCTATTCGTAAAAAACTGACAGCACATTGGTGACTGTCAAGGAGCCAAGAATGGCCAGAAAATCAGCCACAACTGGCTTTTAATTCTTTATTTTTTACCGTAAAGTATTGTTTATTTTTATGTTTACGTGTGTCAATGCTGCGATGGCAATTTGGGGGGACAGATATTTTTTTTGCCAGAACGGCGCCAACGTGTTAACCAAAAATAATCTTCTTGGTTCTTTCAGTAAAGTCACGTAGAAGGGAAATAATGAAATAATAAAAATAAAACATTATTAAATAATTCTCACGACATTTCAGCCACAAAGCTGTCTTTCCGACAGACCTGTTCTTCACCTGAGGACGGCTGCTCGCTTTGTGGCCGAAGCATCGTGAGAATTATTTTATTATGTTTTATTTTTATTATTTTATTATTTCCCTTCTACGTGATGACTTTACCGAAAGAACCAAGAAGATGAATCCCCGCAACCAAAACTAACTTGACTTGACCAACGAGCGCCGAGCCGAGTGCGTAGTTAGCACGCTCGCAGATCCCCACCGGGCCCTGGCCCGTGCCTGCCGCCCGACCTGGGTCTGTCCAGGGTGCGCGAGGAGCCGTAGTTGCTCTGCTCCGCGTCCAGGGAGCCGCCCCTCGGCGTCTCCGTCTCCTCCTGTTCCGACTGCCCCCGCCGCGGCTCGCTCGACGTCCGCGGCCACTCGGTCCGCGCCTCGGGCCACGGGCAGCTGAAGTGGGCCATTGAGGCCTGCGCCGAGGCGGTGGCGACGCCCGCCGGCACGTCGGCGGCGTGCCGGGCGGTCACGCGCCCCGCTTTCTCGCTGCTGGACCGAAGCAGGCGGCGCTCCGTGCGCGCCGTCACCGCCATCGCCGCCGCCGCCATCGCCGTCGGCTGGATGCTGAACCGGCGCCGTCGGTCCGAGTACGGGGGAGCTTCGTTGAACGGCACTGGGGCGGGAAGACAAAATGCGTTCTGGGTCGATCGCGTGTCGCAATTCTTCACCGCGCGCCGGTCTACGCGGGCCGGTGGGTAACAAGGACCGGTTCGGATATTGCTCGCCGCTGATGGTGGGTGGGCACCGCCGGGAATCAAAACTCAGGGGTGCTGGGTGTTTAGCCGGGTGCTTGGATCACTGCACCACCGCGCCAGCCAGGTATGATACGATGGACGCAAAGTTTTGTTTTGGAAGAGGTGGACCAATCGGATACAGTAGAAGCCCCTCTCAACGAGCACCCTTGTAAACGACTAATCGCTTCATGATGGGCCTCTATAGAGCCAAATGTGTAGTGTATAGTGTAGTGTATAGTAGTGTCTTTTAGTGTAGTGTATATTAGTGTAGTGTATAGTAGTGTAGTGCCTCCATAGAGCCAAATGTGTTCGCTTACTGACCGTTCCCCTGTTAACGGCGGGCTGTTGTTTATCCAGCTAATATTATTTATTGCATTGATTAAGCATGTTTATTTTAATATTCCGTGTTTATAATGTCGTTCGTATCTTTATGTATTAATATCCGTTGTTTAAATATTGTAAAGCACGTTTTTTGGGTGAAAAAGGGGGGTTTAACTTCCGATGCTATCGGAACGAATTAAGTCTTTAACGTGTACTTCCTGTACTCACTCAAATCACTCCACGGCCGATTTCGTGGAAACAATCACCGTCGTTAAGAGGGGTTCTCCTGTGATTGCTATCGCACTGCGAACCCAGCCACCAGAGTTTGATTTCCAGCCGCAAATATAATCGGCAGCGAGTGACATCTGCGCCGGTTCTGGATGCCCCCCTTTCACTAATCTGCACATCTCCACTTAACAATAGGCATGGTGTACCCAGGGCTTGTCCAGCTCTCCAGCCATTGCTAACAGTAACAAACCCCCACGACCACGGTATGGTGAGGCCATCATTCTAGAAAGAGCTGCAATGTATTATTATTATGATTGTTTTACTTTTTTTTTTTCGAAAGAGAACACCAGGTGCTGTAATAACTGAGTGACCATGTAACAATGGATTGATTATTTGGTTAAAATCGATTCGCGCGCGCGAGTTTACGTGCATGCTAATTTTACGAAAACGTTACATCTAGGCTGATGGCACGAATGAGATGGGACAAGAAAGAGACAATAAGAAATATTATAAACGTAGACTGTGCACATGACTAAACTCTTGAATTGAACAATGACCCAAAAATCACAGCGATTCCGGAGGATGGGGGGGAAGAGATGGCGGTGTACTCGAAACCAGCCCGACATTTGAGCACACCACAGAGACGATAATCATTTTGGAGATGGACTGAATACAAAAATAACGTTAAAATATACCGTAGTTTAAAATCATTTGTCATGAACCATTTCCCAGAAGACAATTCTATTCGCGACCACATATCTACTTCTTGTTCAGGAATGTGGACTCGTGCCAAAATGTTTGAATGCTACTTTTTCTTGGAATCGTGCATAGTTCAAACTCGTGAAAGGCGACATTACAAAGAATTGCGTGGCTAGCAAACGAAACAAAATCTGATTGGTGGAGATAAAATATAAGATGCACACAACTGTCAGGTGATGCTACATTTAAAAAAAACACGTTTCATTCTCCAGAAGAAATATTAAACATCCAGCATTGAATGCGATTTAAGTAATCTGCCTCTACCAAAAGCGTACGGCAGTAAAAGATCATTAATCGTGATTAATAATTTTGTAAGATAAATAACATCGCCTGGGAGATTAGTCACGAGCAGTGGATGCTTTGCCATGCAAGAAAAATCCACGCGGCTGCTGTCATCTGCAAATTTTTGAGCAAAATAAAAAAGAACGAATGGACTAAAATCTTTAATTCGAACGTCAATCACGCATGAATGTACTTCGCTCAAACGCTGTAATCTAAAAATAATGAATGTATCGAGGCAAAATAAAAAATCGTAAGAATACAAAAAAAATACTTTGTGACCTTGTAAGCGACGGGTCCTTGCGGCTGTGACAGTTTGAGGAGAAAATGCAGGATTATTTCATATCGTCGCAAGATCGCGTGTGTTCCTTGATGTTGCCGTTATCAGGGCTGTGCAAGGCACAAAACGACCGCTCAGCACCAAAAACATGGCCTACATTTTGCCACTCTGCTGCACTCTGTGCAAAAAAATGTACAGTGGTTTAATTTTTTTTTACCAACCATCGAAGGAAACTTTGGACAGCATTTCAGGGTGCAGATCAAATTAACACCCCTCGTAATATGTACTGTATGCCCTACGAAGAAAGGCCGTAGCCCAAAACTTTGCCAAGAATAAATTCTCCCTTCTGACGCCACGGTATTATTGACAAATGTGTTGAGTTTGCTGCTATTTTGTGTGCTTGTGCACTGCCGCCAACGCAGCATCACCAGATGCCCTGTAAGTATGTTTACAATTTCCGATGCTGTTCTCGTGGTGTACGTGAGGTATCCCAAAACAACGGTGGTCAAACGGTCACATCTTTGCATAGCTTAAACCAAGAAAAACACCCACGCCGAGATTCTGCAAAGGGGCCTTGTGCCGGTCACGTGATCCACACAAGTTTCATTTCCTTAAAAATCTGATGCTCCGAGTAAAATGAATCATGCTCCAGAAGTTTAATATTTCACACACAGGTTACGCACACACACAACCCTCGCAGCGGCTTTTGGCTTGACATCCAACAAAGACGGTTTCAGATGCGCTTCTGCGGCCGTCTGGAAAGCTCTTCCCGAAAACTCATTGCTTTTCGTGTTTAGTTTGTTGTCCTTCCCCACACCTCCAATTAGCACGGTTGGCTATGTACGGTGCGAAAAAAGTTCATCGTACATATAAAGATGCACCAGAGCCATAAAGACTTTGAGAACCTTTTCAGCTGGCACGGCGCACGGAGGGGTGGTATGGCCAGCACCATGCACGACCATCTTTGTCTCACCAGTGCTGAAGGTAACTTACTTAAGGTCATCCTCGGAGCAGCCAAAAAATAGTTGAGTTGTCACTTACAACTAAGGATATCCATGGTTGGGAATCAAAATCAAGGTCACAAGGGTTCAGAGCTCAGTGAGCAAAGCACTGCAGCACGACTGCTCGCTACGTACACACAAATACAAAGATGCCCTGTATAGTACAGCATTAGGGACTGGTGGGGCAATTGCTGTTCACGCGCATCTAGTAATTTTGGTACCGCAAAGATAAAGATCACCCTTACAACCTAAACAGACTGTTAGATAAAGTGCTGTTAGCGAGCACCTATGAAGGCCGACACGCCGCACGAAGGGGTGGGTGCCCAGCACTGCTCCCCAGTGATGATGGTTACTACACACCGCACCAGGTACTCATTTGAGGCTGAGTCGACATAGGGGAGTCCCAGTACTAGTTCAGATAATCGTCACTGGTGTTGGCCGTGTTGCGAGTATCGAACTTGGATAATCGGGTTCGTAACGCCGCGTGTTCATCACCCCACTACCGTTCCCCACACGAGCACACGCACACACACACACACAAAGATCAAAGACAAAGATCCCCCGTATAGCCTTAACAGACTGTAGGGACAAGTGCTGTTAGCGAGCACCTATGAAGGCCAGAACGGTACACGAGGGGGTGGGTGGCCAGCACCACGCCCGACCACCTTTGTCTCCCCAGTGGCGATGTTTACACACCGCACCAGGTACTCATTTAAGGCTGAGTCGACCTAGGGGAGGCCCAGTACCGGTTCAGATAATCGTCACATGGTGTTAGCCATGAGCGGGAATCGAACCCGGGTCGCCAGGTTCATAGCGGAGCGCGCTAACCGCTACACTACCGCTCTCCACACACACACACGCTGACACACACACACGCAGCATGCGATTACTTTTTCACATAAAACAAGAACAAAAGAAATGTACGAACATAAATATTTAAGTATCTGTCTAAATAAATAATAAATAAATAACCATTCTACGGGAGTAACAATTAAGCCTGACGTAAAAAAAGGAAATCGTTAAACCACAATCCATGCTGATAACCAATCGAACCTTCTTGCAGGCTCAGGCAGAGCTCCCGGGGCGTACGATGTGCACCGCACGCTTCGTTACGACGCGGCATTTTAAATGAAGAAGATGACACGCGCTCAACAAAAATAGATCTCACGCAGCACATCCGTTATTTAAGAGATTTCAATTATTGAGGTCACTTGGGGGGGGGGCGGGGTGGGTGGGTGGGTGAACTTGACCATCAAAAAGAGAGTTGGCGCTCGGCCTCCGTGAACGAAGGCAACGTCGTGTAACTCTCCACTCTTGCGCACGCCGCCATCGTCATGCTCTAGACGGTGAAGACGCAGGCATTTGCTGACAACGCCGACGACGACGACGATGATGATGCGGCCCGGCCAAACGGGAATGCGGTACAGCATGCGCGCAACATCTGTGTTCATTCACTCTTCCCGTGAGAGCAATAATCTCCCAATTACGCATCGCACAGTAACTCGGCCCACACATCGCTCTCCCGTGGGCTGTTGCAATTGTACAAATGTCCCTTCTGTCGCGGACGACAACAACTGCAGGTGTATCCCTCCTCTCATGGACGGCACCAAGCGCGCTTGAAGATTCATTGCTCAGGGATTCTACCCCAGCCTCACCATGCTGACCACATGGGGGGAGGCGGGGGCGCAAGAGGGTCCAGGACCAGTTCGGATATCATTTGGCCGTGGCCAGAAAGTGGACTGGGGTCGCCAGGTTCATTCACAGAGCAGCGTCATAACCAATGCACCACCGCTCCCCATTGCTCTATGGTACATATGATGTTCATGCTAATGACTCCCTTGTTATGGAGTGACCGGTGGGAGTCAGAATGAGGTCACCACAATTAATATGCACATAGACATGCACGGAGATTTTGTCAATTCACCGCTGGATGAGGGCATCCCAACATCTTGCCGATTGTGAGATATTTGGCCATCCTCTCACCACACCGGTCAGTGCCAGAGGTCGCAACCGGGTACCCGATACCCGTACCCTACCCGATACCCGGCTACCCATACCCGGCCGGGTACGGGTAGCCGGGTACCCGTTTGCGACCCTAGTGCGGCCGGGTACGGGTACGGGTAGACCGTGAGTCACTGGTGAGTAACCGTTTGTCACTCATTTCCCAACGTCTTGTCTCTTCTCACAATTCAAGTTCCTAGAATCAACCCACCCGCGCCTGCAACATGGCTTCATCCCAGAGGTCGCAATCAGGTACCCGATACCCGTACCCTACCCGTACCCGGCCGGGTACGGGTAGGGTACGGGTACAGCTGGGTACGGGTACCTGTTTGCGACCCTGGTGCGGCCGGGTACGGGTAAGGAATCAAACCCGTTTGCGACCTCTGGTCAGTGCGTGTCTACTCCCCACGATGGCTACGGCACCAGCATTTTTATGCGATGTGGTCGCCCATCCGAGCACTATCCAGGCTCAACCCTGCTAGGCGTGCGAGATCTGATGATGGCAAAAAATAATCGGGCGATTTCAGGAATGTTGCAGACAAGAAATAACGTCCATGCCGTGGACGTGAGACTCTGCTCGTGTGCACGCTGCAAGAAGCGCTAACGATTGCCCTCGTGAATAACATTGGCTGGGTCTTTAATATTCAATCTACAGAGAATGTTTGACCCGTTGGGTAACAACGCTCCAGTGGGTGCGGGGTACAGCCCGTTAAACCCTCGCAGCATATCGCAGTGGAAAGCTTCCTGGCTGAGCCTTAAATACATAATACATGCACACCCGGTACCGTGAATGAATCAGCAATGAACACAAAATAATTACTGTGCGAGGGTGTTCTGTCGAGCAACATTAATTTTCAGCGCTTAATGGATTTATTTTTGTCGTCTTCTACTTCTTCTTCGTGGCAAGGTCCCGATTGTGCCGTAATGTATCAGGGGCCCCTCTGAGCATACTTGACGAGTAGAATTCGTTACGAACCTGGGGATCGACAATAACCGCTTTCCGTATTAATGCAATGAAGGGATCATCCCCCAATTACGCTCAATTCAACTCGGGCGGCTGCGGGGAAAAAACTCGCGGCGATACGAACGCGCGTCCCCTCTGAACACCGAACGGGGCCTGATCATAGCCGATTACGGGAACTAGAGGCGTGCGCGCGCTCGCGCTTGGCTTTCCGCGGCAGGCCATCAGCTGACGCATGAAGAAAAAGAGTCTCTGCTCGGTCACCTCTTGTCACGTTCAAGTAAGCGCAACGCCGATTATTGTTCAGCGGCAGACCTCAAGGCCCCCGACGCACGGGGCCAAGGCCGATTATAATCGAGCCTCAAAGCCACGAGGCCAAGTCGAAGCCTTTCGGTGGAGGCCGGTCGTCAAGGCCCAGTCATGGCCGCATCCTCGAGGCTCAGGGCAGTAGTAGTAGGTTTTTACCCTTTAAACTGGTACAAAACTGACACCTTTATACAAGGCATCATGTTTGCAATAACCACAACACAAGCAGTCAAAATGCAAACAAAAGAAACAACTCTAATAATGATATGCACTGTCCTTGAAGTTGATTGGTCCACACCCGAGACAGCTTTTCTTAGAGCCTAGTTTCCACTGGTGTTGGACCAGAAGGGTAAAAACCTACTACTATATTTTGCCACTGGTAAAGGAGGTCTCATAGTGCTCAGGGCAGTGTCAAGGCAGGTGCCTCTGAGCGGGGTCTTTGACCGAGGCCACATCTCTGAGGCCAAGATCACGGACAAGGTTCTCAGGGAAATGTCCCCGAGCCAGTCTCGAGACTGTGGACTGGTCTCGGGAACCCAAGACTGAGATTATTTACAGCTCAGCTTAACTTGCACGCCGCGGTCCCGGAAGAATAATTTATTTTAAAGCGCTGTCAAATTAAATCAAAGATGAAACCAATGCCATATGCTGCGGGGCGATTAGGATCACGATCTTGTTGACTGCCCTCCGAAGTTTGTAGCATCGGCAAAATATAAATAAATGCACGCGCGTGTGCGCGCATGGCCGGTGCGTGCCACTGAAAAACACATAAAGGTGATCTCCACTCGGGAGGTAGATTTTACATCGTGACGAAATTGCCGAAACATATCATTTGGCACACTGGTGGTAAAGGAGACACCTGGATCGGTTTTTCAAAAATCTAATGGAAATAAACATTCAGAAATAAGCAAATGAAACCCCCACGCGCAAGAAGGCAGGATTGCCTGCAGGATCCTGTGACTATGTATGTATAATCCTGATTTGATTATACGTACGTATATTTACGTATATTTAACTTATTTCGCACCATACGTAGCCAACCGTGCTAATTGGAGGTGCGGGCGGGGGGGGGGGGACAATAAACTAAATACAAAAAGCAGTTGTAAAGAAATGACCAAGCTCTTACAGAGAGTGGTTTCAGCTTTCATGGCATTAAATAAAAAACTAAATATATGAAACCATTCTGAACGAAACGATGTCAGTAGACCTCCTCTGCTTTAGCCATCCATTCCCCCTTTGGGTATCAGCCGTCTGCTTCGGTGCCAAGTCGCTTGGCAAGAAAAGCCAAGCAAAGCTGCACGGGTGGGTATAAACACCCACGCCATGCAATTTCCTCCCCAAAACGAACGCAAATGTACTCTGGCCAATCTAGAGGAAATTATTGGTTAGTCTAACCATTGGCGGTCTGCCATACCTGTGCAGCGAGCCGTCCACTACAATGAATTCAAGGCAGAGGGAGCGCATGAAGGACTTTCATCGTCAACTACGATGGACACCCATCCCTCGTATCCGGAGTGACCTCTGACCAATTTATTATCAATGCATATTTTCATAACCTCCCTAACACTAACCCCCATCTATAACCCCAACCTTGGCGGATCGCCGATTTGAAGAATGGCAACTAATAAATACCCCACGGCATTGCAGAAAGTCTTCTTGGTTCTTTCGGTAAAGTCACGTAGAAGGGAAATAATAAAATAATAAAAATAAAACATTTTAAAATAATTCTCACGACGTTTCGGCCACAACGCAAGCAGCCGTCCTCAGGTAAAGAACAGGTCTGTCGGAAAGACAGTGTCTGAAGTCTGAAGACACTGACTTTACCGAAAGAACCAAGAAGATGAATCCTTGCAGTCACGCAAGCTTTAAATCGAAATTGCAGAAAGTATTACACAAAACTGATCAAATAGCGTCGTGCGCTCCACCTCTATGAGATTATCGCATCGCGAGGCTGCGAGAGATGGCGAAAATCTGGAGAGGCCTCCGTCAAGCAGTGGACGGAATGTAAGCGCGGCAACGTCTGGGTTTTCGCGGTGCGAGTTGCAGCCAAACCTTTCCTGTCCGTGGAGCACGGGCAGCCCATGGTCAGCGCAGCGCCGGACACTCAGGCGCACGCTCCCCCGTGGAGAAAAATAACCTCGTCCCCAAAAGGTCGGACGGTGCCGCGCAGCCCCTCCATGGTCAGCCACCGGTGCCGCAGTACCCGTAAACAAACTCGGAGAGACGCTGATCTCTCAGCCCGATCACGCAGCTCCGTCCCCGACGTCCGGTCCACGTGGCCGGCAGGTTCCCCGCCACGCCCTCCCGCCTTTCACGACCGGGAGCGTCCCATCTCAGCGTCTTCCAGTTCGCAACCTGCCGATAACCTCGCTGTCACCCGACTACCGGCACAGGCCCCCCCCCGCCCCGCCGCCACGTATCGTCCGATCCATTCCTGCGCAAGTTCGTTTCTCTCTGGAATCGCTGCAGTGACTTGTGCCCAACCCCGCAAGCCTTACCACCAGCGCCAGCAACCGTGCTCACCCACACGCCCACCCGCCCGCCCGCCCCAACATCCATCCACCGTTGTCCTGATTTGCCAAGAGCAAGCCGCTTGCATTTCTGTGCAACAAACAATAAAAACGCACGGCCAGCCGGCTCCTGCATGCTGCTAATACCCCCAACAGAGCTGTTTAGCTGCCAACTGCCAGCAGAATTGAAAATAAATGAGGACTAAATCCCTCACCCAGAGTAAGGATTAATTCCGGCTATCCTGTCATCGAAGGTTCAAAAGCCACCGATTATATCGGGATGCAACAGTGAAGACATTCTTAATACTGCAGCGGGAGGCTTATTGGACTTAAAAAAAATAAGAAAATGCCAATTTTAATGTCACTTCGCTATTAATTGCAAGCGTGCAGATGCCAGTCTGGTGCAAAGTGTTGTGCATATTTCCAGCCGGGGCTTAATCCAAAAGACACCACGCCGCACAGTCTTAAGCAGTCGCGTGCGCTCAGCCAGGCCATGTGCACGGAGAAGGGGGGACACGTGACGAACGGCCACCGCCAGGCAGGGCATAATGCCGCCGCCGTCGTCCTTGACCAACGCTTCTGGGCTGGCTCACGCGACGGGCAAGCCTGCGAGTTGACGAGCCAATCACACGTCTCCTCCTCCAACGCCACGCGATAAACTCACCTACGTCGGTGCTCTTGTGCGCTTTAATTGTTTCTGCCAGATCGAAATTCCCTGCCACAATCGCCACCTGGGATTACAAACACGCGCACACACGCACACGCAGATGCACAAAACACGGCTCATTTTTAATCGCCGCAGTTATGTAAATGCAGCTTAAAATAAATGTAGCTAAGCACTTGAGATCTCTTATCTGAAGCCCCGAACAAGCGTTAACTGTGACCTGAGAAAGTTAAGAGAAGGAAAGAGCCAAAATAATCAACGGTCCCTCCGGTGCATCGCTTGTGCCCATAGTATTGCGAAATGATACTTGCAATGCAATGGTGCACAAGTAAGCACAGTGCCTGTATTTATTGAATGCGCGGGAAGGCCACTAATGTTTCTTTATTCACGATGGTATCATTACGGCGTGGTGGCGGCAAACTGCTTCGTGTGCTGCGCTATGAACTTAGAAAAACCCGAGTAAGATTTCCAGCCACGGCTAACTTCAGCAAGCAACGAGGGGCGACCGAAGTGATTCCGGGCCTGCCGCTCAGCGACACGCACCGATCAGCGTGGCGAAGCAGCGGCTTGACAAAGGAATTGAAGCTCACCGCTCATTCAAGCTCCCAATCCCTGCAACTCTTTCACTGATGTAACATCATCACCAGTATATACAAATTACACACACGAACACACGCGAACACACACACGAATAATATTGCGAAATACAATTTCGCCCGGAGGCGTACTTTCAGGATTCCCTAAACCCCAAACTCAGAAGCAATAATGTCTGCCTTCCAGCCAGCGCAGATCCCCCAGCAGTACGGTTTCAGGTGAGCGCCCGATCCCATCTCTCATCAGATTGGCCAACAATAACAAAACCTCTTTTTGCTTCTTCTGCAGCTGCTTCTGCTGCTTCTCTGTCGTATGGTTTTCTGCAGCATAGCGGACTGATTGTCGGGGAGCAGCAAGTTGTCAAAGGTTTGCGTCGCATTCTTTGGGTCTTTCGGTAATGTGACGTAGATAGGTTGAAAGAAAATAACAAAAAAACTACGTTTTGATCACAACACAAGCGATCGTCATCAGGAGGATCAGGAGGATGACGATCACTTGTGTTGTGATCGAAACGTCGTAGTTTTTTGTTATTTTTTGTTATTTTCTTTCAACCTATCTACGTGACTTTACCGAAAGACCCAAAGAATATGAATCCCTGCAGTCACGAAAGCTTTAAGTGAAGTTCGTGTCACAGTTCTTGTGCCAATCCGGGGGCCTCTGGGGTGAGGTCGTGGGCGGCTGCTCTACCTCCTCTGAATGTGCGGGAGGCACACGAATCGACGAGGCGTGGTTCGTCGTTTGTGACGCTTTCCCGCGGTCACAGAGTGGGGGGCCTGCTTTTAATCTTCCGCTTATGAGAGATGTGCACATTACGTTCAACACACAGCACCACGGTTCGCACGGTAGGTGAATGTCCGGCGGCGCTTGTGCCGACACATTCAGACGCAGCGCTCTACTTTGTAGGCGCTATCTTGGCACCGAGGCCTCTACCGTAAGAGAGATGAATGTGGTCAAGGCGGAGCCCGGCTACCGCGTGCTCGTGCCACCGCTGACGGCAGGCACCTCCACCAGAGGGCATTTATGGTCTACTCTTCTACGCTGGCCAGACGCCTTGGAAGAGTTGGGTGTACCCACACTTGAACCCACCACGTGCGGACCTGACGGTCAACTTACCATGGTGTCCCCATTTGTGGGGCGCGGGGTGGAATTCAAGAAATTTGCAACCATTGTTTCAACTGCCTCGTTAGAAGGTGGGATCAACGTGGCGGCGGCGACCTTTGGATCGCAAGTCCAACCCTGACCTGCGCGCGAAAGACTTAACGCCGCGGCATCATCCCTGTGAACATGCAGGGGAGGGTTTTTGTTTTTTTAATTCGCGAAAATCAGGGCCCAGCGGCGATGCCGGAGCGGTGCGAGCGGTCGCCGGAGTGGGGCGGCTGCGAGGGCAGCGCCGGTGTAAGTGGACGCCGATCGCGGTTTGGTCACGTGCCTGGAAGGGATTTTGGCTGTTGAAGTTCTTGACCTCCTTGTCGGCTCCGCGAAAGAGAAGCACTTGTGTGCAGCTTTCCTGGAAGTGCGACGGCGAAAGTGAAAGCGTCAGGACTCCGTCGCCAAAAGTGCCAACGGCAGCACTTTTCGCGGGGTTTAAAGACACCGTTGAACCTTTCGCAGACTTCAAATAAAATGACTTAAGTAAAAAAATAATGTTCTTGTTCTAACATGAAAACGCCTTGTTTACTTTGCCTGGATAATGTTTGGTAAATATATGTATGCATGTTGAACTTCTTTTGCACCGTACGTAGCCAACTGTGTTAATCGGAGGTGCGGAAAATATATATATATACACATTTGTAAATAACCAACATTTTTAATAAGTATGAGAGGCTTTGGGTGACGTGATGGCACAGTGATCAGTGCATTTGGGCTATCAACCTGAGTCAAATTCCCGGCAACGGCTAACATCAGTCGCGAGAGATATCAGAGCGGGCTTTGGGTCTCCCCCAAATTTACTGACCCACAACTCACAAACACCACGTTAACGCGTAGTTTCTGTGCTTCTAACGTGGAGACATGAATGCTTGAAATTGCACCGAGGCAGACAGAGTAACACGCGTGGATTAGAGTAGGGCCCATCGCTAAAAAGGATAACAGCCGGCGGTTGAGACCAATTACAGAGCGGCAGTGAAAGCTGGACACACACAAAATCACGGTGGAGATGGAGCAATGAGATCAGCTCGTGTGCTGGAACTCGGCAACTTGTCGCATTGGGAGCCGGCGAGGGAGGCCAAATCATCCAGCAGCGGATAGATAACGGCTCCGCGACTAGGCGAACGCCTAAATGTGCCTCTCGTCTCTCCCGCGTTGCCTCTGCGGCACCGATGCCGGTGAGGCGTCGCGCCGCCCGGCCCGGCGCCTCGCCTGGTCGTAGATGGCGGCGATGTGCAGGGCGGTGTTCCCGGACGCGTTCCTCGCCGACATGTCGGCCCCGTAGAAGAGCAGCAGCTCGAGGTGCTGCACGTAGCCGTGGCGGCACGTCTGCTCGCACGCACGGCACGCGGCGGGCGGGGGTGGTGGGGGGGGGGGACAAGGGAGAGGGGCGAGGGGGGGGAGAAGAAAGGGGTGAGGGAAACGAAGGGAGGGGAGGTCTAGGACGCGAGGCGTGCGAGAGGGAAAAAAACTCGAAATCAACTTCCAAACTGTGGGAGGTCGCCCCCTTTCTCGTCTGCTGACCCTGTGGTCTAGAATTCTGCCTCCTCCCCAAGCGTCTGCACTGCTGATTGCCTCACCCTCTAAGTCCCCCACGTGACGCCTTTCCCCCTCCTCTCCTCTGCCAATCCGAAGAACACCGACTAATTTTCCGACCTCTTTGCCCTTCCACCTACGTCCCTAATGGCCCCACCCCTCCTTTGATTCCCCTGGCTGCAGAAATTAGAAATGTCGTTGCCTCATTCATTTCACATCACGGTATAAATCAGCGTCTGTGTGGGGGGGCTCGGGTGGTGGTCCAGGGGGAGCTTGTGCACGGCTTCGTGCCTTGTCCGCGGCTCAATCTGCCCGCCGCCAAGTTTTTTTTTTGTCGTAATTTTCACTTCATTATTTCCATCAATCGTTTGTCTGCATGTGCTACTTTGCGCCCGATGATAATTTACATTCGCCTGTTGTTGCTGCTGCTGCAGCCAGAAGAGATTCTCGTTTTTAAGTGCAAAATTTGGTTATAATCAGCAGCATGAATTTTTTTTTTATTTCGTTTACACGTTGAAGTACAAATTCTAATCTTTTGTAGAGCACGCAGGAAGTGACTGAGCAAAGAATCGCTCTAAAACGGAGGCCCTCCTGACATTCGCATTAACTTGAAGTTGAAGATGACTGACTTAAAATGACTGCGTGTCCGCGAAAAAAAAAATATTTTAGAAAAAAAATTAAAAACCGAGATGAAATGTTTTCAAGATTTGAAATTCAAATACTGTAAGGGCGAAAATATTAAATCACATAGTCCAATAGCTGAGCCATTAAGTCTGTCATAGCCTGTTAATTCTGACCACAGCTGAGCTTAAAAAAAAATAACAACCAATTTTCCACTTTTGCAGCCTCTCAATGGCCCCCCCCCCATACCAGCTGTCCCAGAAATGGCACGGCAAGTTCCACTCTGAGCCAAATGACACAAGACAGACAATATTACTCCCAGGCGCGTTCAATCTCGCCGACTCTAAGCACGGGTGCGCGCCAGCCTCTGCTCTGCCGTCACGGCTCGGCACGGACCGGTCAATCGCCCGGGCGCTGGCTCGTCTCCCCGGCTCCGTCATGGCCGCTCGCGTCTGAGCTCGCGTCCTCCCCGTGAACGGGCCAACGAGTCGTGATCCTTCAATCGATTTATCGGCCTCGCTGGGGGGGGGGGAAGGAGGAGGAGCAAATCGCTCGCCGGCTTGTCGTTTCGCGTCGAGCGCGAGCGGCGATTCATTTGCAGCCGAATATTTCCGGGTCATTGGTAGACTGGAGGGCAGCGGCACGTGACTAAGTAGCCCGCGGCGAGAACGAGGGGCATACTGGACGTGGTTTGCCCAGGGCTTACTTTATCGAAGAATATTTTCAAGGTCACGAGCAGACCGGAGGAGTTGGTAGTGTGACCAAGTAGCCCACGGCCATACCGAAAGCTATACTGGATGCAATGTGCCGGGTGCAAAAATATCTTCCGGTTGGCCAATTGGGACAGACTGAAATGAAGGCAGCCAACATCGTGGGCAAAGTAGAATCGTTGTCCGTCGTGTCTGAGTGGGCTGTAAATATCATTGTAAGCCGACTGGTCACGTTATCACATTACCTTTGATTTAAAGGCTTGTGTACGTCGTAATTTGCATGTGGTGTAATTTCTTAATCCGTGCTTAGCCCACATTCTACGCGAATTATTTTTTTTTGCGATAACTCAATTGCGTAACCGCGATGCGTAGAGGAATTGTGCCAGAGTGTTAAATGGGTCACGGTGTGTCTTTAACGATCCATCAGCAACAAAGACTTGCAGGCTTCCCCACCCCCGCCCCCTACTCCCTTCTCGCAGATTGGCTAATAAAATTAAACGGAAAGCATGGCTTCCTCGCTGTCAATTACATCGAGTTATAAAATCCATTAGACATGCCTGGCTCACACAGAGTCTTGAACACAATCTATGAATAAAAGTTCTCTGCCAATCGGCGCGGCGAAATCGGTGACCATAATTGGCACTCAATATTACTCTTCTGTGATGGGCTTAGCAGGCCCTCCTCCTCTTCTCATCGTTCTGACATTTCGCATACGCCCGAAGCTCTTGTTAAAACCGCACGTAATTGACTGTGGAATCCCACAATCAATGCCCCGTTCGAGCACACCTGTAAACTCCCGACGCCTTGGAGCGGTGATAGCTCTGCGAGATCAAACCAGTGACCTGGGTTTGATTTCCCAGACACGACTAACATTGGTAGCGAGTGATAAGCGAAGAGTCCTGGGCTCCCCACTCCATCAACCTGCGCTGACCAGCACGGTGAAGTACAGTCAAACAACCTCCAAAACTGACGCGACTTGGGGAGGCCTTCATCTGGCAGTGGCTTTACAAAGGCCACACGTTTTAAGTTGTAGGATCAGTTACGTTTTGAGCGAAAAACATTTGACCGTGCAAAAAAACTGTGGGCAAGCATTTGCCAAAGGCTCATTGTGAATGACGCCATTCCTCTACGCCACCCACCGACTCTGGCCACACTCGAGACCGTGAGAGCACGAACGACCGAAAACGTAACCCGAGCCATCGCGAAAAAGTTACGAAGGTTATTGCGCCAAGTGTCAGTTGAAAATAAGGGGGAGGGGGGTAAGTATTGTACTAGTGTGTAAACAGATAAGTCGAGTGAGAAAGGTATTTAAGGCCGAAAACTACAAATCCAGACTCAGAAACGGCGGCAGGCACAGCGGTGCAACAAGAGAAAAGCAACAATGATCGGCCACGGAGCAGTGTTCTCAAAAGCGGCCAAGGTTACGACGGTCGTGCCACCAAGTGGCGGCCGTCTGGTGTGCCGTGTCCCAGTGCATCCTGGGGCTGAGGGCAGAGCTGAACCCAGCGAATACGGCAAATGTCCACGGGTTGCGGGGAGTCAGCGAAAGTGGCTACGTCCAAGCCACGCTGTGTATATCAGCGAAAATACGAGCACAGTCTGTTAAGATCAGTGCGTGCACTTAAGTTAAACTATGTCGAGGAACATTCAAGCGTGAAACGTGCATTTAGAGTATTTGGCTGCTATAAATTTCCACGTGATGATAAGCCACTTTGTTGAGCCATCATTTGCGGGCAGGTCGCTTCTGAAAAAGAGCTGTGTAGCGATTATCGTAATTTTAGTCGTGTTTTCGAAGCAATGGAAAAACGCCACTGCTATGACATACGGCGCAGACGCATGCTTCCCAACGTTTATACTTCCCTGTATTACCACGGGCGGTGGCGAGCATCCGCATGAGCAGCGCGCGGCTCACCTGGTGAGCATCAGAGTGAGCGTCCACGCGGCTCACCTAGGTTAACGTCAGAGTGAGTGTCCACGCGGTTCACATGTTGAGTGTCCGGGTGAGCATGCAAGTGGCTCACCTGGTGGATCTCTTGCCAGCCGTTGTCGTCGGCACAGCCGACTTGCGCGCGCTCGTACAGCAGAGTCTCGCAGGAGCGCGCCTCCCCGCCTGCCACGCACGTGTAGTAGAGCGCCGACAGGCCCCGGCTGTCCCTCACGTCGGGCGACATTCCCAGCTCCAGCAGCGTCTGCAAGGCGGAAAATAAATAAAGGTGAAACTAATTTTTTTTTTAAACTCCTTTATATTAAGTTCACTTGCTTGCTTGCTTGCGCGCTTACGACCGTGCAAATCTTTCGGTCGTTTTTTAACCCACTTCCCGTGATCCAATCGAGCTGACATTTTGCACACAGACTCGTTGTGCGTGACAATTTATTTTCGTGAAAAAATGTTTCCAAAATTTTCCACGTTTTAGGAAAAAAAAAAATTCATATTTAATTTAAAATACCAATGTGATAAAAATGTAACTCTAACTCAGAAATGAATAATAAAATAAAACCGATACCACGCATATAAAGGATTTATAGTGAAAAACTTTGTTTTTACGGGTTAATTTTTTTACAATGAAATGTCATGTAAAGGTGCAGCCCATTAGATCACTCGCTCAAGACACCGTTGGTGGAAAAGGGTCCTCCACTAGAGAGAGGCGGCCACTTCTTCCACGCTGGCTGACCTGCAGCACGGGGTGGTTGCGTGCTCGGGCCGCCTTGTGCAGTGCCGTGAGGCCGTCGCGAGCGCAGAAGTCCAGGTGCGCTCCTCCGCATACCAGCGCCTTCACCACCTCCGTGCTGTTGGCGAGCTGCGCGGCCGCCGTCAACGGACAATCTGCCCGGTCCGTGCCACAAAACAAAGTCCAGTCGGTAAGAGAGCCGGTCGGACACGTGAGAGCGCCGCCGTGAGCAGCGTTACAGCCGTCCCGCAAGGGGAGGCGAAATTTCGTGCTCAACTGAATGCGGGGAACGGCGTGCAGGTGATCGGAGATGTTTAACACGTGCATTGGCGTCATGTCATGAAAACAAGTAATTTTAATCGAAACTCTCACAAGCAAGTGGATATCACAGAGCTACCTCTGACGATGTCACACGGAGGAACAGCAACATTATGACGTCAGGTCAAGGCGCCTCTGGAGAGAGTGAAATTCAATATATCCAGCAAAGGAGTGCAATCGGCAGTTGTTGACCAGGTGTTCCATTGGCGAACACTTGGTGAACAACTGCCCGTCGTTCACCATCGGCGGTGGAACGACGCTGAAGGTCGCCGCGTGAACAGGGAGGGAAGGAGGCGAGCGCCACTCACCGCCCTTTTCCGAGTCGTGAAAGTTTGGGTCGAGCCCCCGATCGAGCATCGGGACCAGATGCTCCTGTGTCCAACTGCAGAGTCAACTCCATGAACTTCTTCTGATTGACCTGCGGGGAGTGGAGATTCATCGTCGTCGTCATCGTCATCGGCGGCATCGTCAGACGAGTGTCAATTCACCGCTTGCTCGGCACATTCCTCACCCACCGACTGCGTAGGACATCATTGGAACCTCATTTGCCAGTAATAATATGTTAAATGGTTTTTTACCCTTCTATCTGGCAACACAACTGACACCTTTTTATAAGGAGTCATGTTTGCATAGACGACAATACCTGCAGTCATAATACAAACAAAAAACACAACTCTGAAAATGTGCACTGTCCTTGAAGTTGATTGGTCCACACCCAAGACAGCTTTCCTTAGAGCCTAGTCTCACATAGGTTGGACCAGATGACGCCTTTTGACCTGCAGGTATTGTGGTCTATGTAAACATGACTCCTTGTAAAAATGTGTCAGCTTTGTTGCCAGATAGAAGGGTAAAAAAACAATTATCATATTTTTACTGGCAAATGAGGTTCCAATGGTGTAAATGCTTACCCCGAGCTCTCATACTCTGATGGTGCGTTGTCTTTGAGTTGTGCGCCTTTTGGCGTCATCTGTTCCAACACCATGTGAGACTAGGCTCTAAGGAAAGCTGTCTCAGGTGTGGACCAATCAACTTCAAGGACAGTGCATACATTATCAGAGTTATGTTTTTTGTTTGCATTATGACTGCAGGTATTGTGGTCTATGCAAACATGACTTCTTGTAAAAAGGTGTCAGTTTTGTTGCCAGATAGAAGGGTAAAAAAAACAATTATGCGTAAGACATGTAGACGGGGTCTCCCCACCACCCCCTCCTCCACAAGATGGAAATCCTCTGCGAAGAATTTTATTCAGGTCTTCACACGATGATACCCACAGCGAGCCCTCTCTCTCTCTCGCAGCCACGAGCACACGACACACACCCTTTATGTACCCAAATTCTCTCCCAAACCTCTCTGCAACTTTCCAGAAGTTCCCCTAAGCCCCTCCTTGAGGTCTCCTCTGATTTTACCGGCTTCAAACCGGCCACCGTTCTTCATTCATTAATAGTGGGTGTGGTCCCGTGGCCCCCCAGCGTGACGCTTACACATACAACACAAATCACATGTACGAAATAAAAACAACGTAAAATTAAGCTTATTCAGTTTCTACATATATATATAACACGTGTGTATATCATATCAGCATACAATGCATCTGGTATTCACCAAACATCCCACTGATGAAAGTACTCTAATGGGGTTACGTATCGCAACACGTACACGAATGTGTGTGTATGTTGAACTTCTTTCGCACCCTAAGTAGCCAACCGTGCTAATCGGAGGTCAGATCGCATGAATATAAATGGGTCATTAAACCCGCCACCACCCGACACAGCCAATTAGTAAGATTTGTCACGTAAACAAACGTGCCAATTAGTTACTGCAGTGTTGGAGAGTAAACCCACAACATTTACAATTCGAGTACGACGTTTCACTGGTGATTACAACCAGCTTCATCAGGCGATAGCCAGAATTGCCAAATCATTGTACTCGAAATGTAAACGTTGTGGATTTACTCTCCAACACACCGATGTGCTGAAGTAGTAACTAAATGTCACATTTTGTTTACGTGACAAACCTGACGAAATGACTGTGTCGGGTGGTGGTGGGTTTAACGACACATTTATATTTACACGCTCTAACCCAAAAAAACCTTCATTATGGATAATATTGGTTGTGAATGCCTATGTACTAACCGAAATAATGTTTGAAATGTGTTCATGCTGAGGCTTCTGGGAAAGATGGCACGAGTGCCGATGGCACCCGTAAGGCATGTGCAGCGAGACATCAAGAAACAAAATCTAGTTCAGTCCATCAGCCCCTTGGCCTTCGAAACAAATGTTTTCGAGCAATAGTTGTTAAAATGAGCAAACTATAGAAAGGTTTTGTACCTTCTGGGGCTCATCAGCAAAAGTCAGCCTTGTTGAACAACTGCTGTTGGATGGATTCTACCAGACCTCATTGGCAAGGACACTCCACATCAACTATGGGACCTCGTTCAACGCAAAAAGTGACAACACCATACCACAAACTCGTTATCCATTGCTGTGGAGCATCATGGGCAAAAGCAAACATAAGCAGAACTTTCTATATCTAAATATATTTCGCATCATGAAGACGCATTTCAATATCTAAGAACTTATTTTGGAATTGGCGAATCATGATGGATGCATGTAATCGACTTCATAAAATACTCATTAAGCACTCGACGGAAAGGAACAGACGTGGAGTGTTCTGGGCACCAGCAGCAGATATGACCGAACCCTGGGATTTGATGATTAAATCGTTCTTATGTAAGAGCACTATTATAAGGTTGTCTTTGCTCGTGTTGAGAGACCTTGCTTGGAGTGTACACACATTCCACATGCCATTACATTCTCCCTCGAGAAGAACTTGATTAAGGCAATGGCAAAAATCATTTCCACTTTTGTCGTTGTTGTAAATGATTAATTATTATGATTTCAGACAGAAGCTTTTACGGCTTAGGAGAAGCTCGAAACGGGAGTGCCTCCGCCACTATTTCCAATCACGGTTGCATTGAGTAAATATGTGCATGGCGTTAATTAAAGGTGAAGTTGTTCCTATGATTCCCGGTTGGTGAACTCTAATGCACGGCTCAGTCCTCCGATTATTTAAAGTGACCAGAAATCATTGGGAAACGACCGGTATCTACGCAGCTTGGCAAATACAGATTCGGAATATTTGTTTAGGAAGCTTGCAGCAATTATATAATTATGTTATTGTTGTTGGTCTATATTGGATGACTAGCATACCCTAACAGGTATGTTATTCTACTTGGAACCTCATTTGCCAGTAAAAAATATGACTAATAGTTTTTTTACCCTTCTATCTGGCAACAAAACTGACGCCTTTTGGCGTCATCTGGTCCAACCCATGTGAGACTAGGCTCTAAGAAAAGCTGTCTCGGGTGTGGACCAATCAACTTCAAGGACAGTGCACATTATCAGAGTTATGTTTTTTGTTTGCATTATGACTGCAGGTATTGTGGTCTATGCAAACATGACTCCTTGTAAAAAAGGTGTCAGTTTTGTTGCCAGATAGAAGGGTAAAAAAACTATGATCAGTTATGTTATTCTTTTTATTTTCTTAATCCACTTTTCCGACGCTCGGTACATTCCAACAATAAACACGCGGCCGTGGCGTTATCGGTCGTGAGCGTGTACTTATTTACAGATCTGACTGCTGGGATTTTACAGGGTTTGATCGATCTTTTCTTGTACGTATGCAAGTATGTTGCACCATACGTGGTTATAGGATGTAAACGCGTCAAGAGGAGTTTGGAGGGACGGGGGTAGCAGTCACATTTCATTAAAAAAAGACACACATTTGCAGGTTAAGTCCCACCTTGGTATTAAGTTTGGTAATCAGCTTCTCATCCACGTTTGTTTGCTTGTACAAGCGTCTCTTGTAGCGGAACTGAAAAGAAAGTACGCACAAAATAAGAGCAAAATAAGACCAAAACGCAAAGATCCCCCGTAAGGCCGTAACAGACTTTTGGGGGCAAGTGCTGTTAGCGAGCACCTATGAAGGCCGGCACAGCACACGAGAGGGTGGGTGGCCATCATCACGCCTGGCCGCCTTTGCCTCCCTAGTGGTGATGTTTACACACTGCACGAGGTATTAATTTGATGCAGAGTCAACCTAGGGGAGGCCCATGACCGGTTCAGATAATCGTCACTGGTGCCGGCCGTGAGCGCGAATCGAACTCCTCAAAGGTAAAAAGCACGTGTTCACACATACACAATAGAAAGATATACACACACACGCGCGTATACACACACAAAGCAAGATGTGCACACACACGCACATACGCAAAGACACGCACGAAGACACGCACGCACACACAAGACAAACACACGCACAGGCTCCAAGCAATAAGCACACACAAAACCACAAGCAACCATACACAATAAGTGGACCTATGCTGTTTGCACAGGTAAATGGATGCCCGCACTGCACACACACACACACCTTGTAACAAATAATTTAAATTATTTCAATAAATAATGTTACCACCGAATGAAATGCACTACCTTATTTGCGCGGGAGATCCGTATCATATAGCAAGGACATCTTTAATCATTGATTTACATTGTTACCGTTCGTTCTGCACGTACATCTTCACATGAATGCGATCCGATACTGTAATTGTCACCATATGCGGTGCGATACATAAATAACATTTTAAATAAAGGCATTTTGGAAACATTAACAAAAAAATCCACTCACGCGATCGCCAGCTAACATTGTCCTGCTCATAATTCACTTTTCAATCGCTGAAAGGAGATTATGAACCCAACGAGGTGTCATACTTTATTGCGATAAACCACCCAGGCTCGTCAAATGTGCCAAAACACCAACCACGATGATTATAGAGGCCTTCATTTAGCGGTGGAGTCTATGGGCGTGTGTATGCGTGTATATATTTGTGTGTCTGGTAAGTGGGGAGACAAAGGGGGTCGGGCATGGTGACCCTGGCCACCCACCCCCCCCCCCTCGTGTAACCGTGCCGGCCTTCATAGGTGCTCGCTAATAGCACTTGATCTAAAAAGTTTGTTATGGCTATAAGGGGGGGTCTTTGTCTTTGTCTGGTAGTGTAGCACGTTCCGCTATGAACCCGGTGACCTGTGTTTGATTCCTGCTCACGGCCAACACCAGTGATGATTATCTGAACTATTCCTGGGCCTCCCATAGGTCGACTCAGCCTTCTAATGAGCACATCGGTGCGATGTGTAAACACCGCCACTAGGGAGACAAAGGCGGGCGGGGCATTGTGCTGGCCACCCACCCCCTCGTGTAATCTTGCCGGCCTTCATAGGTGCTCACGAACAGCACTTGTCCCCAAACAGTCTGCTATGGCTATAAGATGGATCTTGTCTGTTGGTGTGAATGATAAGGTGCGGGAGAGGAAGATGACTGGGTAAGAAAGCAAGAGGTTGTGTAGAGTTACGGGAAAAGGGATGGTGGCGCAGTGTTAAGAGGAATGGTGATCAAATCTGTTTGGCGCAAGTTGCCAAGGAGGTCCAATGAAGCTGACCTCACATCCTAGCAGTTTGTTAACAAATTAAATTATCAAATCCATGCACCTTCTGCCCTGTATCTACAGATAAAAATGAATATTAATGAATCTAGAGACAGAAATAGGAAGATATGGATCTGAGGACCTACGCAAGTTAGACAATAAATTGACTTCATGAAAGTAAGTGGGCTTGGCTAGGACTGGTAGCGAGAAGAAACGATGGCCAGCGGTCGAGACTAATGATGGCGTGCCAGTCACAGGGGGAGGAACAAGTCCAAGAGGATGGCCACAATGGAGATGGAGCAATGAATTTAGCTTGTGGGCAGGAGCGACGACAGATTGTTTCATCACGAGACTGTGAGAGGTTTGCGATGATTCGGCACGGCACAGGGGTCAGAGTGCCTCCCAGGCACTTCTGAGATTTTGAATTCAAGTCCGGGTTTCGGCTGCCTGCGATTAAAACCAGCTTCTCAAGTGGTCTCAAGCCGGTCACAACAAAAACCCCAGAATTAAACCTCCGTTGACATTTTCCTCCCCCGCTTTCCCGTATCACAACGGAGGGGAATACCTCGAGGTAGGGCACGGGTGAGTCGTTCGGTGGTGGGTATTCTCCCAACAGCCGCTCCTCGTCCAGGAACTTTCCGACGCGTCCGCGGCTCGCCGGGAGGAAGAGGCCGTAGTTGAGCTCGTCCGGAGGAGCCTGCGCCAGGCCCTGTACCACGGCTTGCTTGGCGACACGCACGGGTAGCCCCGGTTCCAGGAGAAGGCACTTCTGCTCAGTGTCCCCACAGACGTGGGCGATCGCACGTGCGGTCACACACGGGCACAAACGGGCACGCACGCAGGTGGACAAAAAAGTTAAAACGCAAAAAAACTCTATTGCACCACCGTACAAACCAGGCCATGCCGGGGCCGTGTTGAGCCCAGCACAGGAGACACACGGAGTTGGTTTTTTTTCCATTGCAGAAGCCGAGCCGTGCTGCTAGCATCACGCGTAACAAAGGCATTATTAGGCCCGCCCATGCCTGACTCCTTTCCAACTTCAGATGTCTTGTGAGGTCAGCGTTATCAAGATAATTCTGGCTCAAATAGCCAGTGGAAAACAACTTAGAGGACATCCCCTCCCTCCCTGCGCTGGCTCAGCTTAGAAATCGAGTAAAATATCCCAGAGGCTGCTGGGAAAAGTTCTGTTAGCGAGCACCTGTGAAGGCCGCCATGGCGCACAATGGGGGTTGGTGTTGTCAAGTACCACCTCTGGCCGCCCTTTTCTCCCAAGTGCTGATCCCATCTTTATTTTTGCTATTTATTATCACGTGCCTCCCATGCAGTACCCCTCAAATTTCCAGAGTTTATCAAAGGAGAATTCTATTGGACAGGAAATTATTACGTTTATGCAGCACACCAGGCACTCATTTAAGGCTGAGTCAACTGACTTAGGGGAGGCCCCTGACCGGTTCTGATATTACTGGGCAGTAATTTTAGCCCTAAACCACTACACCACCACTCTCCACTGCAGGCACACAGGCACACTCACCCACACACACATACACAAATACAAAGATCTCCTATATAGCATCAACAGACTGTTGGGGCAAGCGCTATTAGCGAGTAGCACCTATGAAGGCCGGCACGGCACACCCCTGTCCGCCTTTGTCTCCCAGTGGCAATGTTTACACACCGCTCCAGGTACTCGTTTCAGGCTGAGTCGATCTAGGGGAGGTCCAGGACCGGTTTAGGTAATCGTCACTGGTGTCGACCGTGAGCGGGAATCAAAATTTGGGTCGTGCGTTCGTAGCTCAGCTCGCTAACCGCTTACACTACCGCTCCCCCGATACATACACGTACATACAGGCACACACAGACAAATGTTCCACTTAGAGTTGTATAGTATCACAGCTTGTGAGTGCATGTTAAGACTGGCACCACTTACAAGGAGGCTGTAGGGATGCCTTTATCTCCCCAGTGCCGGTGTTGGCACACACCAAACTGGACAATAACTTTAAGGCGAGTCAACTTCGGGGAAGTCCATACCAGGGGGCAGGTACAAATAGTCAATAATACAGCGCCTCGACAGCAATAATATCTGGGTCAATGGGCGCACAGGCTCAGTGCGATGAACGCTAAAAGCACAGCTCCGCACGCACGCGTGCACTCATCCGCACACGCACAAACCCAAACACGCTCACGCGTGCGCGTGTGTGCGCGTGTGCAATGATGTATAAGAGCAGACAGGAACAAGGAGCCCAGTGAAAAACCAGCAGAGGTGACGGCACGGATAGACGCACACTCGCACCGGTCGTGTAGGGAGGCAAGTGGTGAGCAGGTAGATTCATGAAAAATAAAACGTCGGGCTGATGTTTAACCAGACAAAAACCAGGCGCTTAGGCTGCCAAGAGAGCTTTGTACGAAGGATGACAAAGAGTAAGAGAGAAAGGGAGCACTGTTTTAGCGAGGGGGGGGGAAAAATCCATACATGTCAGAATGAAATATTTATTCTGCATTATCCCAGGAACTTAATGAACACGTGGCGTTAAGGGGGGCATAGGAAAGCAGTTACGGGGGCTTCTTGAGGCGATGCTAATTGGGTGTCTGTTGGTATTACAGAAAACGAAATTAAATTGTGTGTTATGCCACTGTCTGCAAGCCAACACTTCGACTGCAGAGGTTGCATCGTTTTTGCGGATCGCATTCGTGCAACAGTTTTCTCCGGCGCAAATTCATTTTTAGATGGCAGGCGCATCTCTAGAATTGATGGGGTGCGCGATTTGCACGGAGGCTTCTTCTTCTTCTTACATATTTACAGAAAGGCCTGCGCTGTTTGTTGTTGGCCGCTTGGCATTTTTGGCTTCGGGGCATTTGCTCAGCAACTGTGATATAAAAAAGTCACTTAAGGAGATAATCAGCTACCCACGAGCACATCAGCGCAGATTTTGCACGTAATAAATTCGTTTTGGGGGTGGGGGTGGGGGGAGAAATTGCTCAAATTACACGATATGATAGAACCCATTCCAGTCGTGGCCATTGCCCAGCTGCTCGTATTTTTTGTTTATTTTTTTTAAGAACGCAAATTTACAATAATAAAAAGCGCCGCCGTGACCTTGTCCGCAAGGACAGCGGCTGTCTTACGCTTGCGACGCGGTAAATAAAAGACGCAATTAACTCCAAAAGGTGTTCAATACATGGGGGGGGTGGGAGGCGGGGGGCCTTAAATGACTGCATAATCAATTATTACACTAAATCAACAACGAACGAAGCCCCATTTCAATAACGGGCAATTTAAACAAGACAAAAAATTCCCCACGAGGAAGTAGGGTGGTTACAACGATTGCAATTATGGCACCGCCAGGAGGAACAGATCCGTTTTTACCGCAGGACACCTCACGGGTGCACACGTGCATGAGGTTGGGGAGTGCCCTGATTTCCCTGAGATTCCCAAAAGTCAGCTCCGAGCGCCTAAACCAATGTACCCCCCCCCCCCCGCCGTCCCCACAATTGTGAAAAATTACTCGGGGCCCGTGACAGCAGGGAACGCATAATCGTTTTTATATATTTTTTTACTTTACGGCACATTACAGCACTGTTGTGTGCAAAAAAACTTGAGTTAGCGATCACAACACAGGCCTGTATGAGGCAGAGCGTTTGCCGATGTGTGCGGGTTTAATGCGCACAGACGTATTCACGGGCGTGTTTAAACGCCGAACCAGGTTACTAATTTCGGGCTGAGTCGACCTACGGGAGGCCCAAGACCAGCGAACACCGTCAGCGATGCTAGCTGGTGCTGGGCCCACAGAACAAGGTTATCGATGTTGGCTGCGGGCGGGAATCGAACTCGGCCTGCCGGGGAAAGTGTTGCTCACCCACGCCCCTCGTGTGCCGTGCGGAGGCCTTCGTTAGGTGCTCCCTCACAAGCACTTGCCCTGGCAGTCTGTGAAAGGCTATATGGGGGACCTTTGTCTCTGCGCTCACGCAGCGAGTGTGCACGTGCTAGCACGCAATAGACGTGTTAAATAATTATAATTTACAGGCCTTTGCCATTCATTCCACTAATGAAATGGACAAAGTCCTCTCCACACTGTGTGTTAAGCCGTGGAGAATGTGTGTGATCATACTTCACGACACACTGGTCAGTATGGGTTTGTAAAAGGAGGGGCCCAGGATGGGTTCTGACACCACTCGCCGTCAATGTGAGCTGTGACTGGGAATCAGACACAGGTCGGCAGTGTTCATCGCGCGGTGCGCTAATCGTTGCACCACCGCTACACCCCGGGGTGTATGTACGTTGGTAGAAACTAAACAATTTTGTCTTATACCAGGTAAGGCCCACTGAGCTGTATAGCTCATTTTCAGAAGCGGCCTGGCCACAAATGAAAGCTCTGCTGTGCATTTGTTGAGAAACTGTCTACCTTTCGTTGCTGTTGTTGTTGTTAATGGAGCAGAAACCGTTCTCACCGTTTGCTGCAGGAACAAAATCCCGATTCTGAAGATGCGCGCACTCTGCGTCGGTCCCCCTCCTCCTCCGGCAGCGACGGAGTCGGTGTCCTCCGAGGTGACGTCGCGGTTCACCGACCTCTCGTAGAGCTCCGATAGCTCGTTCACCCTCAACTCCGCGCCCTCCATGCTATCTTCAGGAGGATTCAAAGTTCCCGTCGAGGCGTCCATTCGGTTCAGTTGCGCTTCATTTTCTCAGTCCTGTGGAGAGCAAAACGCCCGTTTGCTAGGTGTCACACCAGGTGAGCAAAGGCAAATATTTACACGATGGCGAGAGACTCAAGACGGGAAAACTGCGCGCAATCTGGAAATAAACAACGGTATTTATGACACGCGCGATGTGATTTCCAGACAGCAAAAATGTGTGATGTGCATGCGGGTATAGCGACGTCATGTCACGCGCAAGGCGTGATGGGAGCATGGATTCTACGTTCACAATTGCGCGTTTCGCTATCCTGCAATCACCTTTGAGCGTGCGGTATCATTGCTGAAAGTAAACAACAGCCCTTTTTGATCCCCTGCTGTCAGATAAAATTAAATTTTAAAACCCTAATCCTTTAATGCTCATAAACCTGTTGCGTGCATTTTTCCATCGGAGTTCTTTCGAAGGGCGTTAATTACCCGCAGTGGCAAGGTTCAAGTTCGCTCTGGCGACAAGGCACAATCTGCTACATTTCTCTTTACCACCACACGCACAAAGTGCAGTTATTTGCAGCGAGAGAAAGCTATAAAAGGAAAACCGCCACCGTCTTCTATGAAGCACAAACGTCCACATACACAGCGGAGGTTTACAAAGTGCACAGGTAGATTGGCAGTTTAAATTCCGCAGTCAGTAAACTCACCGTACGCATCTCGCAAAGAGGCGACGGCAGTGCATTGGGCTGCTCGTTGAAGAGGTGTTGGGTGTTTGAGCTGGTCAGCTGACCCTGGTGAATACCGTGGGGTCTTGTTAACTGGAAAAAATATATATACACGCCGCTGCCTGCTTCACAAAGGACGGTAAAAAAAATCCCGTGATGTTATCCGCAAAAGCGGAGGGCCGGCTATGTGCATCGTGTTGGGAGTCACGGTTTATAAATTGGTCGCATTTGAATATCATCTGCTGTAGCAAATATTCCTTTTACCAAAAACGATTTGCATTTCTTTGGCAATTTAAATGCCACTGCATTTTGAAAGCGCCTTACATAAACGACGAAAATATTAAATCACTGAGACCAAAAAGTAAAGGAAAAAGACAGAAGGGGGAAAAAAACCAAAGCAACAGAACATAGAAGACCAGCGAAGGACATGACAGACATAGGGACAATGACTGGCACACATACACTGGGACAACAGCCACTGAGAATCTGAACACATGTCTCTTCTTGCACATAATTTGCACATGTATGTCACCAGTGTACAATAAACCTGCTCTTGGTAATGCCATCAAAAGGATCGCAAATCCGACTACAAGAGACTCAACTTTCTACATCCATTGTATATTAAAATAATAGTCTTTTTTTTTACAGCGTTATCAGTCCACTGCTGGATGACAGCCACTGCTGGATGGCCAGGGAGTTGTTTCAGCATACTTCACCACATTTATCAGTGTGGGTTAGTTAAGTTGCGTGGGCAGGAGACACCGAGGGCTGGTTCAGATACCAATCGTCGTTGATGTTTGACTCGGGTTGTTGGGTTTCAGAGTGCGGTGCGGTAACTGCTGCCCCACTGCTCCCTCCCATTGTATGTAATGCATATTCACATATATGCAACTTACATGTGTTGCGTGGTAGAAAAGGACGCTGAAGCCGGTCGTGTAGGGGCTGACGCCAAACTGTTTATATAACTTCATACTTTATCTCAAAGACTATATCTCAGCTTTCTCATTCTAAATTTTCACTTACTTTTAAAAACTTTACGCACCGTTTATTACGGCAATTTCGATTCAGAAATCTTACACGTGTGCGTTATATTGCCCTCTCACGGCTCTTTGGGAGGAAAGTGCAGCCGGATATGTGCGGATATCCCACCGGTGCCACTGCCAGCCAGGCAAAGCCACGGTCAGACGCACAAGAGCAACCTGCATCCTCTGAGCCAGTGACACACAAACCCGTCAACTGAAAGGAACCAGGGCAAAGGGCATAACGCAGGAATGTCACGAGAAACGTAGGAAGTCCAGTCCTGTATTCCCATCCGTACGTATGTCTATGTGCACATTATTTGGGGATTGGTAAGGCAGCAATTCGCGCACTGTGTTACAAACCCAACAAACCTGAGTTCATTCCCGCCTAGTGTTATCTGAACGGGTCCTGGATCACTCCTAGGTCAACTCAGTCAAAAGCTGTAACAAACCCAACCTATACCTCCACATATTCAAATAATTATTAACACGAGCTGTTGATGGATCACCGTTACAGGATTGTTAGTTTAAATATGCCATGCATTGTTAAACAATACATCCACTATGGGATGAAGGCATTCCCACACCGTGTCAGTTATGGGGGGGGGGGCTTGTTTGACCATACTTCACCACGCTGGTCAGTGCGGGTTAGTGCAGCAATAAGAGCGGTGACCAAGACCAGTTTGGATATTATTTGCCACTGATGTTCATCGTGGTCAGGAAATGAACTCAGGTCGCCAAAGGCTCAAAAGATGCGTACATGAACCTTCACCGTAGTAGGTGCTGCGATTTGCATAAATATCCACGAAAAAACACTCTGCCACTAATTAAGTGATATATTGAACAGTTTCTCCAAAATTGTAGCTCGGAAAATGGAATATCCTGGTCAGATAATGGCAAATGGTTACTTCACTTGCAAAAGCACGGCCCCCGGAGTGACGACGAACTGAGCTTTCGTCGCAGTTGTTCACTGCATTAGAAGTGCACCACTCAACCTCATCAGAGGCTGCTAATCACAGGGACAGGTGATGGGAAGCTTCAAGCTGGCACATTCCCAGCAGGTAATACGCTCACAAATGTATCACCTGCTTGGATGAGTGTGCGGTGAGCAAGTTTTCTCATCTCTTTTTAATCTTGGAAGCGAAATACTCTTGGTTCTTTCGGTAAAGTCACGTAGGTAAAGGAATTTATAAATAAAATTAAAGATAAAAAATAAATAAAATTAAATCACGACGTTTCGATTGCAACACAAGCAATCGTCATCAGGTGTGAACACCACTGCAGGAAAATGTATACGAAAGTGGGAGAGATCCCAGGAGGCTATATAAGTCACAGAGGGGGGGTGGGGGCGGGGGGTAAACGGAGGGGGGTGGGGGGATAGGGAGCGAGGGAGGGCGCATTGTGGACGCCAGGGACTGGGAACGCGAAACTGGGGGGGGTGGGGGGGGGTAGGCGGGGCGAAATGAAGGCGCAAAAAGTTCAAACTTCGACGAAAACCGATACACGTTCGTTCTAGGAGTAGGATGCTGCACGTATTCAATCGATTAATATTGAGGCTTCAGCTCACGATAATGCATCGAACAGCCAGCTCGTAAGAAGCAATGTGTTTTTGTTTATCCATAAGAGGTTTTTGGGTTAGATCGCGTAAGTAAATAAATGTGTCGTTAAACTCGCCACAACCCCGACACAGCCAACGAGTAAGGTTTGTCACGTAAAACAAAATGTGCCAATTCGTTACTAGTACAGCAACACCTGTGTGTTTGGAGAGTAAACCCACAACATTTATAATTCGAGTACGATCTAGATTTTAAGTTTTCGTGACTGGTTATTTCGATAAAGTCACATAGGTAGAAATTATTTTATTTTATATCTACGTGACTTTACCGACAGAACCAAAGAGTATAATTCGAGTACGACCGTTTCGCCAGTAATTACAACCAGCACCATCAGGCAATCGCCACCTTTGTGGAGAAATCCTCCTCTTTCGGTCTTAAATAGAGGGATGGATGTGATGTCACTTGTGAGACAATTAGGTGCGAAGGTCAGGGGGCCGGGTTCATGTATGCATCTAGATCACAATAGATATCCTTACCGGTTTGGTTATTCATAGGGTAATCAGCGTACATTATGCATGAACATGATACATGCACACTATGAATGTACATCCTGCCGTTTGTGGGTGAAATCTAACTCAAAAACCACAATTATGGAAAATATTGGTGGCGAAAGCCCTTGTGTTCCGATTGTTTTTGTTTGTAAATATTTACGCGATCTAACCTAAAATAAAACCGATTTTATGTATGATATTGGTCGCGAAAGCCGACGTGTTAAACATGTTGTATCGTGCTCACGTCACCCCCTGCGGCCGCTAGGGACGCTATCATTCGCCACAATGTAAACGTTTTAAAACATTGTTAGTCTCTGATTCATCGGATCGCGACAATGTTTCGAATCGTCAGGAACAGGGTGGTGTGTGTGTGGGGGGGCTACACGTGAATCACTGGACCCATAAACGCATTCCACGATGTGCAGTGCCCCACAAACAACGCAACCTCGCAGGGGAACTTACTCGGCCATTCTAATAATACACATCGGGTGTCACTTTGAAATGAATTATCTACAGTTTATGAAAATGTGGCTTATTTTGCAGAACCGAGTCAACGGCTTGACACGTGCGTGAAATCGCCATCCCCGTTCCGGTGTCGTGATGCTATAACCATTTCTACACGAGCAAGAACGGTGGCCGAGTTATTTAAATTTGAATTCGAGACCCAAATGTTCAAGTAAAAAATAAAATCCACTTCACGATGAAACTAATGATGACCTTACGTTTTTAAAGTGGATCAAATGTACGTCTGAAATAGTAGAAGTGTCCGAATGAACAAATTGGTTATCACAACCTTTCAATGTCAACTATATAGGTATCTTTCGCAAAACACCAGAATAAGCATATTAATCCCCCATACGTTCTGTGTCTCTTCCCATGCTCTCTCTGCTTTACGTAGGCCTCTGGGTTCCCGGACTTGCAGCACTCCCCCACTGCTGGCGATCACCATCGCCATATCCCATCTGCTGCTGGTGTTACCAAGTCATCCTTCTGTCCTCATGCCTCTTCGCACTCCAGCAGTCCACCTTTTTCAAGGTTGTCCGCTGCCCCCGGTTTCCTTCCAATCGCGTTGCCATTGCTTTTGGCACCACGGTAGCAAGATGTTGACGACCTCGCCGGGTATACAGGAGGTCTTGGGTTCGATCCCAACCCTTGACGCCTGTATATTTGGAGTTTGCACATTCTCCCCGTGCTCACGTGGATTTTTCTCCAGGT